TAAAATAAATTAATAATTTGTATCTAATATATATTTTTTATAAAGTAGTTCTGCATTAACTTGTATATAAAATATTTTTTAAAAATTTTTTCTTATTTTATATTATATATATATATAAGCTATTAATCAATAAAATTTTAAAAATATAATTAAAATGATTTACAAAAACTAATTAATTATAACAAATATTTATTATATTTAGATTTACTATATTATTTTATGATATTTTTAAAAATAACTAGTATAGCCATCCCAAAATATAATATAAAAACTATATATAAAAATTTACTCACATATATATTTAGAGAAGTATTGTATTTAGAGATAAAAATCTATAAATATAATATTAGTTAGACCAAAGAGAAGATATATATTTAAATAAATATTTTATAAAATATACACTTAAGAAGTAATATTTAGAGAGGTTTAACTATAATTTTTGAGTTTTATACTTAATTTTTATTTATAATTTAGTTTTGATTCTAGATAAAAATTAATTCCAAATATTTTATAAGAAACTATTTTAAATATTTTTATTTATTATCTAATTAACTTGTATTATAATTTATTATTTTAAAAAATAATTTTAACTATAACTAGTGATAATTATTACTAAAATATTATATCTTAAAAACCTACTAGCTAGCTCTCCCTCACTTTTTCTCTTATGGAATATTCGATCATTATCTTTTTTTAATAAAATAATTATAATATGTATAAAAAAACTAATTAGTACAGAATTAAAACCTATAAATGTACTTCAATTACAGGCTTTCATTCTGCAACACATATAAGTGTAAATATTTACAGTATAATTTTCAATGTCTCCGATAAAAGAATCTGGCAAAGTTATATTAGGATCGATATTTGGATCAGTAGAATTGAAAAAGCATCGATCAGTCAGAGATTTAGTATTTAGAAAGCTAGTACACCCTGATGGTAATGAATACTTCTCTATATTCACAAACGTAGTGAAAAATACAAAATCAAGTCCATCAGAAGGATATATGACTGTAAAAATAATTGTTATAAAAATATAATGTCAGTATGGTAATATGTGTATTAGAAGATAATTTTTAACTTCGTTAGCGCTTCAGTAAACACAAAAAAACATAGAACTACAATATGATCGTGAAGTAAAATTTGGTGGTTGTTGTAATATTATTCTCAAAGCACCAGAAATTGGAGATTCTTACATGAATTAATAGAATTAGTTATAATATAAATATCAAGAAATATAGAGGTTGTAATAGTACCTTTTTAAGATAATTTTGATCTGTGAAAATCTTTATAATAATAAATATTAAAGTTGCAAAATATGTAAGTGATAATATCAGATAAATAAATCGGTTTCTTGAACTAGCAATAATTTATATTAGTATGTACTGTACAGTACAATAAACAAATAAACCCAAAATTACAAAAAATATAAACTAAATACCTATAATATTTTTTAAATCTGTTTTGTATTTTTTAAATGTAAAAAAATAAGTAATAAACTTTGAGTATTATCTATCAACAATAACAATAATAAATATTCTTACATAGACGGTATTAAAATCTCCTTAATATTATGGATTTCAGTGATATCAACCATACCGATACTTGCAAATTTACAAAAAACTTATCTTATCATTATATACATACTTTTTGTTTTATTTTCTTGTAAATCCAGAAATCATACTTGTAATAACACAGTATGAGTTGCAGAATGAAAACCTGTAACTGATTATAGTAAATCTTTAAATGGAGACCGCAATTATATTAAAATAGTACTGTAAATGGAGACCGCAATCATGTTAAAATAGTAATATAGACTTAAGCCATAAGCTAACAGGTATTTATTATTCGATTTTGTTATACTTTCCATTTTGAATATTATTTGTGTTAGCATTAGAACACGTATCGATATTAGTTTATTACTCAAGAAAACTTAATTTGCTATCAATCATCACGTGAAAGTGTTATTTTGAAGGCGATACTGAGGTAGTTCATCCACAAACAATTTTTATTTTCTAGTTTGTTTTCATTTGTTAATAATTCAATTTTTACATATGCTAAAAATGTAAAAGAATAATAAATTAATTAGTTGATCAAATCATAAGAATAATGAGAATGCTTACCTTCTTTTAATATTTCAACTTTATTCATCTTATATAATGACAATTGGTCATTGAGTTTTTTTAAAGAATTTCTGATTTTTGTATATCATATCTATTACGCTTTTGGCATTTTGATTCAATAATATTATTTCTTATGGATCTCTCTTTAAGAAACAATTGAAACATCATCAGATCAGAATATAGATAATTAGGCACAAAAAAACCATTATTTTTTCGTAGGTGTTTAACGATATTTTATTTTTAATAGAATATGTTATATTAGATCAAAACTAAAATTTGACCTCACCTAAACAATTAAAAAAAAAAAAAAAAATCAAAACTAAAATTTTTAACAAAAATCTTTAAGTTTGCAAATAAGAAAAATAAACAAAGATAATAAATGGGCATTAGAAGCTAGTAGTGAAATTAAAAGGAGGTAACCATCGTTATAGAATTTTATTTATATAAAAATAAATATTATATTTTATTGTCAACAAAATAGAATTATCTATTAATTATTCCTTCTCTATTCTTTTATCTGTACGCGTTAAATAAACAGAAAGTAAGTGTTGAATTTTATTTATATAAAAATAAACATTATATTTTATTGTCAATAAAATAGAATTATCTATTAATTATTTCTTCTCTATTCTTTTATCTATACACGTTAAATCAACAGAGAGTAAGTGTTGAATTTTATTCATATAAAAATAAACATTATATTTTATTGTTAACAAAATAGAATTATCTATTAATTATTCCTTTTCTATTCTTTTATTTGTACGCATTAAATCAACAGGGCATAAGTGTTAAATTTTATTCATATAAAATAAACATTATATTTTATTTTCAACAAAATAGGATTATCTATTAATTATTCCTTCTCTATTCTTTTATCTGTACACGTTAAATCAACAGGGTACAAGTATTGAAATTTATTATAAAAATAAACATTATATTTTATTGTCAACAAAATAGAATTATTTATTAATTATTTCTTCTCTATTCTTTTATCTGTATGCGTTAAATATTAAAATAATAGGCAGTAATTATAGAATTTTATTCATATAAAAATAAACATTATATTTTATTGTCAACAAAATAGAATTATCTATTAATTATTTCTTCTCTATTCTGTACACGTTAAATCAACAGAAAGTAAGTGTTGAATTTTATTCATATATATAAAAATAAATATTATATTTTATTGTTAACAAAATAAGATTATCTATTAATTATTCCTTTGCTATTCTTTTATCTGTACGCGTTAAATCAACAGAGAGTAAGTGTTGAATTTTATTCATATAAAAATAAACATTATATTTTATTGTCAACAAAATAGAATTATCTATTAATTATTTCTTCTCT